AATTAGCGAAATAAAAAAAGTCAAGGTACTAGGATGGTTGGGGGGCCACTTTTTTTGTCGGTTTCAGAGTAGTTTTTGTGCTGGGTCTTGTCACCCTACAAAATCAGGTTTTCATCAACGCCACTTTCCACCGTAAAACGGCGGTATCAGCCGCGATATCCACTTTCCTAAAATACAACCGGAGCTATTGATGTTGGGGGCATCTTTTTTGGGTTTTTTCCGACCTTCGCTTTTCTCCAAGTCTAAAGCTAACCAAGCCAAGCCCAGGCTAAGCATAACCTAAGCCAAGTTTGTGCTTAAGCCCAATCCTAAGCTAAGTCTAGAATGCTTCCAAGCAGGGTTATTCGCTTTGACTTGAGCGCCGCACTTGATTCGGACTCGGACTCACCTGACCCGCAGAATTTGTAGAGGTCTGTCTTCGTCTCCGTCCGCCCAGGTCCGTCCGTCTCCGGAAACCGCGTATTTGCATTATTTGAGATAGAGATTTAGGACCCCAATTTTCCTGGGAAAAAGACAACGGCATTAATTATAATAGCTTTATCCGGTATGATTCAGGTATATAGAGGAGGAATTCAGAACATCAAATCACATATCGGATGGAGCCCCATCCGAAGTTGGGGCAGACGGGAGAAATGTCGTGCAATACCGTGGAATTTATCCAGAAATCGGTACCGCCAATGACCTGACCCACCTGACCCGGACCCGGAACCTGACGCCGACCCGGACCCATGCAAATTTGATCGGGTCTGACCCGGACCTGACCCCCTGGGTCTGACCGGGTCCGGTCCGGGGCACAAAGATCAACCCTGAGTTTTGGCTAGGCCTAGACTAAGCTTCATACTATACTATTTCTATGGCGCCAGGAACTTGGCACCGGACCCTTTCTACCATTTCTGGGAACAAGTCCACGATCTCTACCCTTGCGAATGATAAGCTAGCGCGACCACACTTGTTACTAGTCTGTGTATCTTGTTATATCCTGGTTGTTGCGATAAACCCTTGTTAAACAGGTTTAGGCATTTTGACGGTGGAAAACGGCGTTATTCGAACCTGATTTTATGAAATTCGAACCCAGCACAAAAAACTACTCTGAAACCGACAAAAAAAAGTGGGCCCCCCCCCCCAACCATCCTTGTACCAAAGTCAAATTACCGTGGTGCAGGCAGGAAAAAGTCGCTTTGACGATGGGCTTGGCAGTCGGTAATCAGCCAAATGTTGTCGGGCTGCACCTCAACCTCCTTCCCGAAGTCGACCAGGTAGACGACGTGCGAGGTGGGCTTGCGGGCGACGACGCGTGCGCGATAGCCGACGTCCTTCAACGCGTGATGACGTAGTCACCCTCCTGCGCGTTGAACCCGTCCGACTGTTTAATCGACACGTAGGTGTTCAACTGTTGCCGCATGCGCCTCGTAGCTGAAAAAAGAAGAGTTAAAAACTAAAGAAAACTGGGGTTAAGAAAATAACTGCAAGTAGTCTCTTAATAATCTTTCTAATAGAAATTTAGCCACATTCCAAATCGAAAAACTCTGAAAAACTCTTTAAAAATGTTTTGCAAATTTGGAAATTCTTTTCAAAAAAGATCGATATTTGCACTCTCATAAAATTTGAAGTTTTTACGTTGAAATATAGCGCAAAAACTCGACTATTCGATAAAATCTTTGTAAGATAATGATTTTTTCAGAATTTTGCGCAAAGATACCTCGGCATGGCAACAGACGGGTGCAGCCTCACGAAGAAGGTCAGCTCGGCGCCGACGTCGACGTGGTCGCGGGGCGTCTCGGCGAGCAGGATGCCGGTCTCTTGGTGAAGCTTGAGGTCTTGGAAGGGTAGAGTCTTGACGGCTCGCGCGGCTTCGGTCTTCTTCTTGGTCGACTGGGCAGGGCTGGGGTCGGGCCGTCGTCGGAGAGGCGCGGCTTGTATCCCTCGGGCACCGTCCAGTAGCTAAATTAGAAAATTTATAGAGCGTAAAAAGTTTAAAATTTCGTGACAGTAGCCTTTTTCCTCGAAAATTTATGCATTTTCGAATCAAAAGCACAAACAAAAAACTATAAACATCAACTTTCTTACCCATTCGGGTTGGCCTTCTTCTTCTCTGCCGACCCGCCCGGCGCCTCGTTTTCCTTGTTGTCCTCGGCGTTGAGCAGTCGGGCCTCGCGCAGCTTGATCAGCTCGGTGCGCTGCTTCTTTTGGTCAATCTAGAAAAAGCACATAAAAGAAATCAAGTAAAAACTTACAATAAGCGTGGCGCCGTTGTGCTTCATCTTGTGGCTGACGGCGATCGACTTGTTGAGGTTGGCGGCCGCCTCGTCGGTGAGCATGTCGAGAAACCTAAAAAACGCAGAAGTTTTCTAAGCTAGAAAAACTTACGCATGCTGCCCATTCGGCTGGTCGGCCATCTTGCGAAAGTGGACGTTGTGGACGAGGCCGAAGCGGGTGAACGCCTCGAAGACGTCCCACTAAAATGAAAATTTGATCTGAGGAAAGGCAAATTTACATCGCTCCATTCCTCGGGGATGTTCTTCACGTAGAAGCTGCGATTCGGGCGCGTTTCATCGAGCTCGCCGAAGGTCATTTTACCTGAAAAAAATGGAATAAAGCTTTCCAAACACAAATTTTGCAAAAAGAAAACGCGGAAATCAATCAAACGAAGCCAAACTTAGCAAAAGAACTAATCTAAGAAGTATTCTGAAAATAAAAACGGTTTAAAAAGTCATGGATGACATTTAGATGTCCCAAATAACCATTCTTAAAGCTAAATTTGCTCAAGAAAACCCGGAAGTTACAAGAAAACGAAGACAGATTTAGCATTAAACGGTTCTAGTGGATCATACAGGCTTAAAAACTCGCGAAATAATACTAAATAACAATAACAAGAGACGCAAAACCAGTTTCTCATCCCAAATTTGATCAGGAAAGCGCAGAAATTACTGAAAAAGGTCAACAGCCACGTAATAAAATCTACACAATCTAACTCTAAAAACGCGCTAAAAAGTTATGAATGAAGGTAAGACGAGCGCAAGAACAATGGAATTTTGCGGGAAATGGCGAATGACCGGCGAAAAGGCAAATTTCGAACGCGCCGCTCCGGTTCCACGTTGTTTGTATTGGCGCGCAGGCCGTTTACGACGGGGAAAGCGTGAATAAACAAAAAGTAAGATCCTGAACCGGAAACAGACGAATGGGATGGGATGATGACGTCGACACGCTGTTGCCAACCAGCAAAAAGGTGCGTTTTCGGGTTCGCCATCGAATTCTGGGGGGTTGGGTTCAGAAAAGTGCTAAAAACGAGCAGAAATCGGCTTTTAAAGGTTTGTTAATTTTAAACCTTATTCGAAAAGAGTTTTTGGTATCGAAAACGATAGAAAAAGAGGGCTCTATCCCAGTAACGTGGACCATGTAAGGAATCGTGGACCATAAAAAAAAACGTGGACCATAACCGAAATCGTGGACTTTAAAAAAAATCGGGACCTTAAAAAAATCGTGGACCGGTAGTCAGAATCGTGGGCCCTTGGTGAAAATCGGGGACCATAGATTTGGCTGTGGGGGCAAATTTGGCGGCGTTCAAATCGTGGACCATAGGTTCCGTCCTGAGCTGAGTTATGGTCCACGATTCTGAACATCCGAAAAAAGGCTAAATTGTTCGGAAAAACTGTGTTTAGCTTCCACAGGGCGGCCATGTTTGTTTTTCACACCATTTTTTTTGCGGCATTTCACATGGGCTTATCATGTTGGGGTTCGACCATAGATTTAGTGGAGGAATTACCTACATAATGTCGATTTACACAATGCCGATTTTCAGAATGCCGGTTTTGCGTCCTTATGCCGAGTCATTTTTCATTGCATTTTTGTTTCGCCGAATCCTAGTTTTTCGTAATCGATTTCCGGGGGGTTCTAAAAAGTCTCTAACCTTATTTTCTATACAAAAATCTTACAAAATTCTCATAAAAATAATCTCCCTGGCAGGTAACGAAGACTGAATTTTTAACGACGGCTTCGAGGTTCTTGATTCAGGGTAATTCCCCAGCAAAATCCGGGTTTCGCTATTTCAAAAAGTATCGGGGGCGCGTCAATATCGAAAGCATAGGTTTTTCGGAAAAAATGGAATACCAAATCCTAGGATTCATCGGGAGGACAAACGTTTAGCGCCCTGCAAACAGACGCAAAATCGGAATTATCGGAATCGGCATTATAAGAATCGATATTCTAAGGATCGGCATTGTGTAAAATCGGCATTCTGAAAATCGGCATTCTCTAAAATCGGAATTCTGAAAATCGGCATTGTGTAAGTCAACATTATGTAGGTAATTCCTCTGCTAATTGCTACAATGTGAAATGCCGCAAAAAAAAAATGGTGTGAAAAACAAACATGGCCGCCCTGTGGAAGCTAAACACAGTTTTTCCGAACAATTTAGCCTTTTTTCGGATGTTCAGAATCGTGGACCATAACTCAGCTCAGGACGGAATTCTATGGTCCCCGATTTTCACCAAGGGTCCACGATTCTGACTACCGGTCCACGATTTTTTTTAAGGTCCCCGATTTTTTTTAAAGTCCACGATTCCGGTTATGGTCCACGATTTTATTTATGGTCCACGATTCCTTACATGGTCCACGTTACTGGGATAGAGCCAAAAAGAGGCGAAAAATGTTATTCTGTTAGTTTTACGAGGAGTTATGCTTTAGAAAGTGTTGAAAGTCACGGTTTTAGACCGCTCAAACTTAGTTTTAAGTATTTTGGAAGTTGCAAGCTGTTCGAGACGCGTTTTTGGCATAGAAACCTATAGAAAAAGCCTTGCACAACGTGATTCTGATATTTTCAGACTTTTTATGCTTTAGAAAGTGTAGAAAACCGCAGTTTTAGGATTCAAAGCTGAATTTAAGGCGTCAAGCTTTTTACCCAGTCATAAAAACTCCTCTTGAAGCGTTGAAAATTCTTTTAGATGCTACACGCTTGCGAGAAAAAAAGCTTTAACCCTTTTTTCAGGTCGCCCACCCCGAGTACGTCAGCGGCGCCTGCGTGCCGCTCTTTTCGGCAGCGAGCGCGAGGCGTATTCGTATTATATTGGGCAGGTCGGCTAAAATTTTATACTTTTAAAACTTTTCACATTTCTAGAGATACCTCCGGATCGAAGCGCGGACCCTAACCCTGATCGTCCGCTTCCTGCCCACCTTCGCGCTCGTCTCGTGCATCTTCTTGGCGTTGTTCTTCCATTTTTACGAGGCGACGAAGTGGGTTTTTATTTATAAAGGGTTCCTAAATGATCTATGCTGGAGTGCGTCGCTTTTTTTAATGCTTTTGAAAGTTTTTAATTACCATTTTAGACGTAAAAACGTTGAAATTTTGATTAGAAAATACAAAATGATCGATTTAGACAAAAAAATGAAAAATGACCGATTTTCAACCAAAATTGCGACAAAAACTTTTTTCTGTTCGTTTTTCACTTAAAATATACTTAAATTTTGCTAGAAAACTATTTAAAATCCTGGCGATTACATTTCTAGGCGTTTCTGGACTTTAAAAAACATTTGCCCCCTGATAATGCACAAGAGCCAAGACATCCAATTCCATTTTAGCACGCACTGCCACGTCCCGAACATTCTGCCCTCGATCTCGACGGTCATCGGCGGCTTCTGGGAGACGAATTTCATCTGGAGCTGGGCCATCTATCTGCACGCCCTTCCCAGGTAGGATTTGTAGTTTCTAGTCTATAGGCGAATTTGGATTTTCAGGTTAATCCCGGCGTTCGCCTACAACAACGTCTTCATCCCGAGGGCTCCCCGGAGAGGCCGGTGGACGTGGTTTTTGATAAGGTAGGGTTTTTAAAGGATTTTGAATCCTCAAAAATTCGTTTAAAATGTAGTTTTTTTGTGCTTTATCTCATCAAACTTGAAAAGGGGTTTGTTATATAGATTCTCCTCGAAAAATTATTTTTAGGCTAATTTTTACGATAAAAATTGTGTTTTTTTATAACTTTTCTGATCTGTAAATACTTTTTTTAATCTGGTGTTTTTCCGCTTTCCGATAAAACGTTTTAGAGATGAGTTTATGCTTCGATTTCTCGTTAAATTTACTTTTTAAACCCAATTTTCAGGCTTCACGCCACGCTGAGCCTCGTCGAGCTGTCCGCGCTGCTGTCGTTGACCTACTACAACTCGGACTACAACCACCTCTACCACGTCGTCTCGTTCTCCATCTTTGGCGTGGGTTTTTGAATAGATTCCACAAAGAATCTCTGCTAGCTTGCCCTAAAAAATCCCGTTTTTTCAGTCGACCTCCCTACTGTACGCCCTTGTCCACCTGACGCTGTGCCGGCGGCTGGAGCTGCACGTCCAGACGAAGCTTCACATGCAGGCGTGGAGGTATCGATTTTTAATGCATTTTTGGGGTATTACACGTCGTAACCGATTCTCAAAAATCCAATCGGGGAGGGGTAGCAAAGGAAATTTGCGGAAAAATTAATATTACGTGATTTTTCGGTTTTAAAAAACTAGATAAATTAAATGCCTAATCGAACCACCAAATCCAGGGCAAGCTAACAAAGGCAATTTGCGGAAAAACGGATTTATGGTCTTTTTAGACAAAAAAAAGCTGAAAAATTGCATGCCGTAATCGATTAAACTCTAAAAATTCCTGCATCCCGCCCAGAATTTTGAGCGCAATCTAGCAGAAACTCTTTGCGGAATCTTCCTGCATCCTCCTCCCCCCTCATTTCCAGGCTGAAGAAACGTGCCTTTTGCCTCTCGGTCTCGTGTCTGCTCACCTGTTTCTACCTCTTCTACCGCCATAATGCCTACTGCGAGCCGTACGTCTTCTCCGTGTTCTCGCTTTTCGAGTATTCCTTCGTGCTCTCCAATATTCTGTTCCATTCCACGTTTCGGCTCGATTTCCACGACCGTTGCTTGTACATTTCGTAGTCCTATTTTTTTGCTTAGCGCTTGAAACGCTTAAAAACTCTTTTATTTCTGCTTGAAAGGCTCAAAACAAGTTATTCTAGACTTATTACATTAAAATGTCTCGAAAAATCGATAATGCCAGCTTTTAAAAGTTCATTTTTCGATATAAAATGGTTTTATCGATTTTTCTAGAATTAGTACACTGCTTTTTAAAGAATTTTTCTCTATTTTTGCGCTCCAAATTCCGTTCCATTCCTTTCCACGCCCTCGATCTGTGATACTGCGCTTTTTTGCTCACTCTCTATGCATGTGCCTTTTCGATCGAATTAAAATAAAAATAAAAATATGAAAAATGAAATAATAATAAAAACGCGACTTTAAAATCATGTAAATCTACTTTTTGGCTATTTTAAAACTTAAAAAATCCGTATAAAAAATTGTTATTAAAATCCATGATTAGATAGAATTAAAAATTTTGGGAAAATAATATTTATAGTACTTATTGATTCAATAAATTATAGAAACGAAAAAGAAAAATTAGCAAAATGCGGTTTTAAAATCGCTAAAACTTTTCTACCCCTTTAAAACCTAAAAATCGTAGAAAAATCGTATAACTTTATTCGGGGCGAAAATGACACGCAAAAAAACCGGATGTCTCGCTTAATTGCAAAAAAACAACA